TATCTGTGAAGGAAAGTTGTCGTCCAAGTGGACGAGATACAGGGTCGGTTATCGTGAAGGCGTAATGAAGATCTCTCTCTCTCTCTTTCTCTCTCAGAGGACGTACGCGTCTAATAATGTTCTAGTTTGCGTTGTCTTTTGTTGGTCTTGTATCAGCTGTTTGATTTGCAGCTCTACATTCACTCACACGTCCCGTGAAGACTACAACTGGGTACTCCACATCCCGTACAACTCCGCCTGCTCCATCCAGAGCTCACACCGTGACCTTTCACCTAAATTTACCTGGCCAGGTGATAAACATGCAGCAAGTTTTTTTGTTTTTGTTTTTGTTTTGTAGGCCACGGCTCTGCTTCTCTTGACGCTCCTACTCGTGGAGTGAGTGCCGGTGGGGGGGGGGGGGGGGGGAGGGTAGATCTCACGTCGACACACAAATACACAGCAGAGGGAAGGTGAAGTGGGTGGGAGGGGGGAGTTTGCTCTTGAAGGTGAAACACACCTGAAGTTTAGGCTCAGCACACAACAGATTTTCTGAACACATAACAGATTTCTTGAACACACAACAGATTCAACAAACATCTTTCGACACACCTTATATGTTAACATACAACAGTTTTGTTTCACACAAAAGTTTTATTAACATACAACAGCTTTCTCTCAACACAGCCTTCTCTGACACACAACAGCTTTTTATGATATGCAACAACTTTCTATGACACGCAACAGCTTTCTATGACATACAACAGCTTTCTATGACATGCAATAGCTTTCTATGACATACAACAGCTTTCTATGACATGCAACAGCTTTCTATGACATGCAACAGCTTTCTAAGACAAACAACAGCTTTCTATGACATGCAACAGCTTTCTAAGACAAACAACAGCTTTCTATGACATGCACTTGCTTTCTATGACATACACCAGCTTTCTATGACTCACAACAGCTTGCTATGACGCACAACAGCTTTCTATGACATACAACAGCTTTCTATGACATACAACAGCTTCTGTGACATGCAACAGCTTCTATGACATACAACAGCTTTCTATGGCATACAACAGCTTTCTATGGCACACAACAGCTTTTTGTGACATACAGCAGTTTTCTTTTGGCACGCACCAACTTTCTTTGACTCACAAAAACTTTATTCAACACACAAGAGCGTTCTTTAGCGCACAGCTTGTTTGCATACACAACTGTTGGTATCTTTTGGATAAACACTATCCCCTCGTCGGTATACCAATGTATGTAGTTACACATCATAATTTAGTGTAGAAACTCTTATCTGTTCAAACATCGTATTCGTTGATTAGACACACACACACAGAGGCACAAGTTGTGGTTAGTTCGAACACGGAAGTTGTTTATTTAAGCAAAAAATTACTAGATATCAACTTACTTAATGTGCATCCAAGCAGGGGGCAAACTGGGTGTCAAAATCGTTCCAGGCATTAAAATACAATCGACGCCAACAATACATAGCCTTATGATGAGCGTCCATTCGTACCTGTCCACAAAAGTAAAGTTTGATCATGCATCGACAAGTTAACACTCGCATCGATGGCGAAAACTTGAATATGTAGATGTACAATACAATCATGTATAAAACTAAGCTTTTTGTATTTTAGGTCGGCTATTCCATCATTTAGGACACTGTTTATTACAGTTTACAATCTATTTAAGACTGAGGTATTAGGTAATTATGTATATGTTGAATTTAACAATTGTTACGGATGCATGTGTAAATCAGATGTACTTGAAGTATTTCTAAAGATACTTGATTATACTTAATGCGTGAGTACCTTGTTTGGTGTATTATTATTACGAGCTCGACACATGAGCATCGCGTCACATATATTGAATTAACAGGTACCAACAGGAACGAAGACTAAATGACCAAGTTGACTCCAGATGAAACTTTAAATAACTTTTAATGCAGAATGGGCCACAGTCTAGTCCGTCACTAATAACGAGGTTTACCCCTCAAGAATCTAGCAGTAACTGATTTCTAAAAGTCTATTCTAATCTCTAACCCAAAGTCTATGTCGTCACTATAAAATGTACGTTCACTGTCGGGCTAACAAAGTGCGCAACTAAACTAGCTATCTAACACAATACATACAGGTCAAAAAAAAAAAAAAAACTGGTGGAGTTTGAGTGTAACACATTGTGTTGAGAGTTTTTAAAGTTTTAAAAGCAAAGATGCTAAGTAATGTGTTATTCTTAGATGAAATTAAATTTGCTACGAAAAAAACATTTAGTAATAAGCAAGTCTTTAAGAAAAGTGTTGTTTTTTTTACTAAATCTATTTCTTTGCTAAGAATTGTTTTTAGGGAGATATAAAATGAAGAAGAGAAATACGTGGGCTTTACGTATTAAACGAATAACTCTAAAATACAACAATTTCAGTCATAGGCCTAACGGTGTCGTGTGTTAGGAGAAGTGATTTTTATTATTGCCTGTTTATAAGGAGAGATATATCAATTGGTAGCAAAGATTTTGTGAACGTTTTGAAAGAAGTTTTGTCCATTCGCTTGTAACGAATAGTTTATGAATGTAGCGTTTCTGTATGTTGTGAAGCAAGTTCTCCGTGACCAGCTAGATGGTATATGTGTGTGACAGAGTTGGCAAAGAATCAGAGGAGTTGAAGGAACCCCATCTACTTCAGTGCACTCAATCATCGCCGCCTTCCTACTCCAGCAGCCTCCCCTCTTCTATCTTACATCTTTGTGTATTATGCGGTGCACTCAATCATACCCCCCGCCTCTCCGTCACCCCTCTTTTGTTCACCTGAGATTGTGTTTTGATTCAGTCCATGGCAATAAGATGATATAAGATGTTATGTGTACATTCAGTTAGCTTCGCCCTGGTGTCTCCACACTAGTTACTGAGGCACTTGGTACTGAGGCACTTGGTGTCTTCACACTAGTTACTGAGACACTTGGTACTAAGGCACCTGCTCTCCACACTAGTTACTGAGGCACTTGGTACTGAGGCACTTGGTGTCTCCACACTAGTTACTGAGACACTTGGTGTCTCCACACTAGTTACTGAGACACTTGGTACTGAGGCACCTGGTGTCTCCACACTAGTTACTGAGACACTTGGTACTGTCTCGACACTAGTTACTGAGACACTTGGTACTGATACACTTGGTACTGATACACCTGGTGTCTCGACACTAGTTACTGAGACACTTGGTACTTAGGCACTTGGTGTCTCCACACTAGTTACTGAGGCACTTGGTACTGAGACACTTGGTGTCTCCACACTAGTTACTGAGACACTTGGTACTGATACACCTGGTGTCTCGACACTAGTTACTGAGACACTTGGTACTGAGGCACTTGGTGTCTCCACACTAGTTACTGAGGCACTTGGTACTGAGACACTTGGTGTCTCCACACTAGTTACTGAGACACTTGGTACTAAGGCACCTGGTGTCTCCACACTAGTTACTGAGACACTTGGTACTGAGACACTTGGTACTGAGACACTTGGTACTGAGACACTTGGTACTGAGACACTTGGTATTGAGACACTTGGTACTAAGGCACTTGGTGTCTCCACACTAGTTACTGAGACACTTGGTACTGAGACACTTGGTGTCTCCACACTAGTTACTGAGGCACTTGGTTCTGAGGCACTGGGTGTCTCCACACTAGTTACTGAGGCACTTGGTACTGAGGCACTGGGTGTCTCCACACTAGTTACTGAGACACTTGGTACTGAGGCACTTGGTGTCTCCGCACTAGTTACTGAGACACTTGGTACTGAGACACTTGGTACTAAGGCACTTGGTGTCTTCACACTAGTTACTGAGACACTAGTTACTGAGACACTTGGTGTCTCCACACTAGTTACTGAGACACTTGGTACTAAGGCACCTGGTGTCTTCACACTAGTTACTGAGACACTTGGTACTGAGACACTTGGTACTAAGGCACTTGGTGTCTTCACACTAGTTACTGAGACACTTGGTACTGAGGCACTTGGTGTCTCCACACTAGTTACTGAGACACTTGGTACTGAGACACTTGGTACTAAGGCACTTGGTGTCTTCACGCTAGTTACTGAGACACTTGGTACTGAGACACTTGGTGTCTCCACACTAGTTACTGAGACACTTGGTACTAAGGCACCTGGTGTCTCCACACTAGTTACTGAGGCACTTGGTAGGTACTGAGGCACTTGGTGTCTCGACACTCGGTACTGGAGTCACGTAATGCTAAGAAACTTTGAAATGAATTAAAAATACAACAACCGCAAAAAAAAATAAATCTTTAACATAGATATACCTCTGTTTTATAGATTAAGATTCAGCATGTACTTCCTTAAATGTATCTTTTGAAACATACAGTGTAACAACATGGCTAGAACCAGAAAAAAAAATGTCTGACAATGTATGTCTGATAATTGATGTTTTTTTTTTAATTTTTATAATATAACTTCTCCATTTGTTTTTATGTTTCAGAGGTTTTGTACTTTATATTTTAGGTTATCATAATAAGCTTTAATGCGACTTGCTTAGGCATACAACCATTATTACAATGTGCCCCCCCCCCCCCTCTATTTATTTTTTTCGTGGGTTAGAAATAAAATGTTTAAAAAAAGGACTACATTTCTCAAATGCACATTTTTAAAAAAAATCATATGCCATCAGTGTAGTTTACAGAGTGAATGTATTTCTAGTTGTTTGAAGTCCAATATAGGACTAATGATGATCTTTCACTGCTTTAAAAAAATAAAATTTCAAGTTCTTTTGTTGTACCTATTTGTGCACGATATTCATGTGTTCTAACTTTCATTCAAAGTATATTTTAAAGGTTTACGAAAACCAATGTATGAAGGTAAATGATAGTAAGTACCCCGGTACACTATTTTAATGACCGGTAGGGATTAGCGATTACATCGAGGTTACTTCACACTAGTTATCTAGTTAGATGCGTTATGTAAATAATTGGAAGTATGCTGAGAATGAATAACTAAACGCCTGACCACATAGTTGAAGCCTTTATTATAATTGTTTTTAGTTCAAAAAAGAGTCACAATAGACATTGAATGAATCTTATGTACATATTGTTTCACAAAAGCTTAGAACATTGGTAACATCATCAGAGTATAACATAGTGACTAGTTTTAAAAAAAAGTGTGAGGATATTTAACAAAATGTAATGAGGCGTTGTTTTTGTTGTAGCCAGTGTGTGTATTTAAATCAAATGTCTTGTGTTTTGTAAATCGAATGTCTGTGTTTTGTAAATCAAATGTCTGTGTTTCGTAAATCAAATGTCTGTGTTTTGTAAATCAAATGTCTTGTGTTTTGTAAATCAAATGTCGTTTTGTAAATCAAATGTCTTGTGTTTTGTAAATCAAATGTGTGTGTTTTGTAAATCAAATGTCTGTGTTTTGTAAATCATATATCTTTGTTTTGTAAATCAAATGTCTGTGTTTTGTAAATCTAATGTCTACATGTGCATTGCATTTCTTTGGTTCACTTTCAAGAGCTGACAATATTATGAACAAACTTGTGAAAGGGGGGTTACAAATTTAAACATCGCTCTTTTATCTCCCTTATGTTATTTTAACCAGCAGCCATTGAAGTTATACAATCACACACACACACATATACACATACATGCGTTATATTTAAAATCTAAATACATTCTCAGAACTGATTTGAAAAAATAAATTGAAAAATGACATGCAAGGGACAAAACTAGAGTAAAGACTCAGTAAAGTAAAAATGTATCATGTTCATCTCCCTTTATCAGCTTAAAGTGCATTCTTTTATAACACCAACATGTCTCGCAAAAAGCCTTTGACATGTACAAGTGCGAGAATTTTTTTTTTCAATTCTATTTCTGTCTGATTTGGAATTTATAGACATGCACTGATACATATCCCCATTTCATTTTTATGCAAAAGCATTTTCGTTTGAGTTGTAATGCACACCTCATTGTGTCCTGGAAAACTCATGTAATGTTGAAAATGCTATAATCTATAATATGTACACTAATCCATATGTAATTTACAGTAGAATATTTTTGAAGCACTACTTGTTTGACACCTAAAACAAAGGATCTTCGAACAAATGTATAGTTTAACATGCCCTCAAGCGAATAAATTCATAGTATCTTCAGACGTCTAGCTGAGTAGACTATGTCTCATTTCTAAATGTCTTTATGTTTGCGACTGATTAGCCACGGATGAGGATGTATGTATGTTGTTATTTAGCGTGTCGAAAATCTCTTTGGGGGTTTCTGGCGCGCCATTTGTAACGCTGTCTGCAAGAAAGGATATTCTTGGCGCACCATTTCTATTAGAGTATGTCGTCCTTGATGGTGTCTCCGATGTATCACTTATGACGTTCCCTAGACCTACTTGAGATGTGCTTGGATTGTCAATGTTGTCGGTGTATTCTGTTGACTGTGACGACTCTGATGTGGCTTCAGTTGACTGTGAGATTAAATGAATCGGAGCTTCATTGCTGATCGATTGCGAAAGCATTGTATTCATATCTTCCGACAAATTGGCATTGGCATCCTCTTTTGGCGTTTCTCCAGAGACGCTTGCTGTCGTCTGCACGTCTTCATCTTTTGGATTTTGTTTATCGGAATCTTGTAGCGATGGACACAGAATGTCATTGTGCCCTTTTTCTTCTAACAAGTTGTCCGAGATTTGTGTGAGATCTGACGCATTTTCAGGCTCGACAAGCATCCCCAGCTCGGTTGTTGAGTTGTCGTCTGCGTTACCGTGAGACACAGACTCGTTTGAAGAGTCGGAATCGTCTGATTCACACAGAAAGTATACATTGTCACGGGCGGGCGATGAGGGAAGCGTGTTCGCATCCGGCACCACCGTGGATACTGGCGCCGCTGGTTGAATGTTAGCGTCGCTGGCCTTTGGTTTGGCGTTGACTTTATCGTAGGCCTCGTAGATGTGCTCCTCATTATCCGTGGTCTCGCTCTCGGCTCTCTTCTGCAAGGAGTACACATTCTCTGAGAAGCACTTGGGTGTAAAGGTGAAGGCCGGCTCATTTCCGTGCACTACGTCTGCAGTTTTGCAATGCTGGTGCCGATTGGACTTTGTTGACCGGACGTCAATGACGTCGTCATAGTTCGAGATTATATTCAGGTCAATAGAGCGTGCCCTGCCCGAACGGTCCAAAGCCTGGTAGGGGGATGACTCTCTTGGTTTAGAAGACGTTGTATTGGAACCTGGCGACGGAGGCTCGGTCGCTGGAGGTTTGACGTCGGTGGGCTCGTGTCGAGCCGTCACCGATCTCAGCTGTGGCAGTGGCAAGGCACCAGCGTTAGTAGCCAGCAGGAAAGGCGTGGCGATTTTGTTGTTTGGCGGTGCCTTTCGAGCAGTCTCTGAAATGACCTCATAGTCCTCCTGGGAGTCATCAAAGTTTAAACCCACCTCCCGGTCATCCTCGGCGTCCGCGACACTGTAAAGAGAGTCTGACTCCTTGCGGCAAAGATCAAGGGTGTTTGACTTTGAGGAGCTCTTTGACTTCTTGGAACTCTTCGACCCGCGTCCAGTACAGATGGTGTATCGGTTGGGTATCGTGGTTGCAGTGGCGTGGTTTTCCTTGGCCGAGCTATAGATGTCAGAACTGCCATGCGTTTCCACTTCATTATCTTTAATAACTTCATAAGTGTCGCCCATGGAGCTCTTCAACATCCTGGACTCTTCTTTCTTGTTAATTGTTTTATTCTTTTTAACAATGTAACTGTTGATGAGAGGAAAACAAAAAGATTGATTACTGTTGGAATAGTTTCATCATATTGAATGACTTTTGCAAAGAGCATCTTTATTGCTATTGCATGGCCCAATCTCTTTTGTGGTGGGGGGGGGGGGGAGAGGTATCTGGGTGAAGGTTTGCGTGCTGACTTTTTGGCGCTCAGCAAATGCAATTCATCTCAAGCAGGGATTCAAACTCGAGACGCCTTGATAGGGTGCATAACGGTTTGTGCCACTCATTTTTAACATTTTTTATTGTATTAATAACCGGGAGGAGTATTTTTTATTTCAATACATGTATCTCAGATCTATTTCTATCAACAGATCGATGTGATATTGAACGTTTGTTTATAGCCTAGATTTGTTATTGTTCCCCATTCACACGTATTCTTTCCCCCTTTCTTCCGTTTCAGTCCCGGCATACTCACCATATAGATCCGACGATTGCCAGGACCAACAGTACACTTGCGCTCATCATGCTAGCACCGACAATCAGAAAAAACAGCTCCTTTTTGGAGGGTTCTGGAGTTGATTTAGGAGATGAAAAGATTCCTGTTAAATAAGAAAATAGTTTTTTTTTTTAAATGTATTAAGCGTAATTGTGGCAATTAGTTTGGATCAGTCGTGTAAATAAATTTTAATAGATCTAGACTAGCAATAGTAAATCTGAGCGATTAGAAATATTTTTCCCAATGGTTTTTGTTTTGCGTAATGTCATGCTTCTAACTTTCTCAATACGATATAATTCTATCACTTGTCTGGACTGTGGAAGGAGGGAGAAAAAAGAGGGTATCTGTGTGAATATTACCGTGATCGCTTTTTAAATGCATTTTATATTTGTAAAAAAAAGTACGACTTCAATTCAAGCCTCCTCAAGCCAATGCACTGTGCCAACGAAGCGCTTACGAAAATAGAAGGTTATATAGTTATCTATCGTTAGTTTCACACTTTTAAGCGACGACCCAGTTTTCTACACAAACTATAAAGGGTATTATTTCTTATAGCACCACATCAATCAAGTACAATTTCTTTCCCTTGTTCGATCGCAAACACAATAATTAATTACCAATAGTCAATAAACCAATGGGTTATTTGTTTTTAATTGAATCTCATTTTATCAGATGCAAGAAATAATAGTGCTAAATTTCATTTTGATCCGAGACTGGGTGTGAAAGAAAGAACATGTACTAACTGTTTACCAGACAGACAGAGTGAGTTGGAATAAGCTTTTTTATAATAAGAAAAAGTCGATTAAAAACGAATGTGATAAAGTTATAATAATAATAATGATTTTTTTTTTATAATCATAATAAAAATCTTTATTATCTATAAGGAAATTTGTTTTACAATTGTGACTGAAGGTTATTTTATTCAATTATATGGAGACACCATAAACTATGACGTATATTTTCTTTACAATGACTTTAGTTGACGTATTGGAGATGGAAATAATTATTTCTGTCGATGGCATGAACAAGATCGATTGTATTAGGTGCGTTCGCCAGGTACAGAGATCTTTCTAATAAATGTTCAAAAGGAATATTCCAAAAAAAAAAAGAAGCAAGAAAAAACATTTAAAAATACATTTTTTTTTAAAGTCAGTACCTCCATTATACAACTTCAATTAAACTAAAATATGAAACAAAAAGAATTTTTAAAAATGTTTGGCTCGAACCGGGAATCAAGCCTGTGATTTTGTGCTACTAATTACGCCAGACGGCAATGCAAAATTTTTTCAATTATTTATTGGTGCATTCATTATATGGACATCTAGATCTAGAACCATATCTAGACTTCTGATTTATCTTCTTATCTTATATACTACAGACGTTACTTCAAAAAAGAAGATGATTACGTCCTACGCGTCATACATTTAGTCATGCATATTAACCAATGACTTAAATTCTGCCAAGTCACTGGTTTTCCTGGCTAGCTCAGGCAACCCATTCCATGCTCTAATAGCACTAGAACTCTTAAGATCTAGTCTAGATCTAGATCTTCTTCTAGATCTAGATGTTATATGTATTACATTTACGTAAAAATGTAAGCAAAGCTTAGATAATCTTTCAATAAACGTATAACAACTTTAAATTTAATAAACAACTGGTACACTAGGGCTGACTACGCCATGTTTTTTTTATTATGTCCAAGTTATATGCATACTAAATAGATTTTTTCTCTTTGAAAAAAAAATTCGTGTAAATGTATGACAGATCTTACTTAATTTAGCAATACAAATGTAAAAAAAAATAATAATATTTTGACAAAAAATCAAAAACCTTTTGTGTAAAATATGAAGAGTATTATGGCATCCCCTACTAAAGAGCCTCCAGTGTTTACTATTAGTAGTGAATAGTTGTAAAAGTGGGGTATTTTTATGGAAAAAACTGCTTGCATAAGTGATTTAAAAAATTAGATTTTTCGCTTTAAGAAAGAAAAAAGTAGCCTTTGCATCAGAACTTGAAATGGACTAAATTATTATGATGTCGGATTTTCAATATCTTTTCTAGTTTACGAGATCTAAACGGTACGGACGGACGGACAGAAATTTCACACAAAACTAATAGCGTCTTTTGGGCCGCTAAAAACTTACATTCGGAAATGCCCGAATGCGATAGTCCTTTCAAGAACGCGATAGTCCTTTCAAACCCGATATTGGATCTAGATATAAGTATAGTTCCTTAGTCAAATTTAAATTATTTATACATCAACTGTTAAATTTCTAGGAAAATCATTAGAGCCGTTTTGACTTGAATAGAGGTATTGCAAAAAAAAAAAAAGTGCGGCAGCGATAAGAAAATTGCGCACCATGGACATTTTTTTAAACCTAACTCTTCAAACCATACATAACATGTTAGAAAATCCAAAAAGCCAACCTGGCATACATAATTTTAATCAACAATGGTGACAGTTTTTTTCCCGTTGTTTTTATCAATATTATCACGTGACCGTTCGTTCCGATGAATGAGGTCCATTGAAGTCAGTCTCTTACCTGAAATATACATGCAAATGCTTTGATTCTCCTGACTAGAGAACTGCACGCCCGTTATGTTGCGCAACGTTTCGTTGAACTGGTACGTGGCTTTGCCGGTCCCCACTTGTTCCCAGTCCCTGTCATAGACAAATGTGAACAGTAGATTTGTCGTGGCACAACAAGCAACTACAGTTTTACACTTCCACACCAAGGGATTCGTTGTTCTTACTTAGAAATGATTTCTAGACACAAATTGGGCATAACATGCAATCACAATTGTACACTACCAAATGAATGGACCCTTTTTTTTTTAAATT